AAATCTGGCCTGTTCAATCGTTCCTCTTCGTAAGAGTTCGTCAAAAACTTAAAGTTGTTTTCAAATGTGCAACTCTCAGACCTCCCAAAATGCCTAGTTACCTCTGTATCGGCTTTTTCTGGTTACTTTGGTTCATCATAGAGGGACTGACTACTGTTTAAGTAGTGCGCATGGTTTAAATAACTTTTTACAGTTTTTAAAATCGAATTCAACTATGCAGGAGGAATAAACATAAAACCATATAAAGCATTATTTCTGAGGGATATCCGTCTTTTCCTACCTTAGTTTACAAAATAAATGTATCGTGGTAGTTGAAATAGCTGTCGTTATGAGATTTTGGGGAGCCTTCATTAATTTCTAGCTAACTAATTACCATTAATCGAATTAATACTATCCAGAAAACGTCACAAATGATTAACATTTATCGCAATATCAAAGAGTCAAATGGACGCTTGGGCAGTGCTGTTTCTATTTAAAACCATTAGCCCAAAAATTTAATAGCATGTGATAATTTGAGAGGAATTTAAAAGCACAGAGGTATTATAACGCCTGCATAGCAAATATATTTTGTTTTTAAAAATGCAATTTCGAATGAGGCACGTTTTAGACACCCTTTCTATGAAATACAGACTAATTTATGCGGTCATCGAAAATGAATGAAAAACTGCGTAATAGGTGACATTTAAATATTTTAATGAGCACTCACTATGAGACGGAAATTATCTTCACGAAAGACATCGCGAGCTGGAGTTGTGCCGCCGACTAAGCTGCTCTTCATTCTCAAATAAATAACTATTTCCTTTGGAAGGCCATGTGACCAGTTATGGTTAATATTTCCTACATTTGGGCATAAATTGGTGCGCAATTCTGGCCAGCGGATCAAAGTAGGTATTACATTTAACAAAGAACAAGTTGCCCGTCATTCTAGATAAATATAAGTTTTGTTGTATGAGTCGGGCAGCCTGTTATTATAATGTTGATTCCCCTTTTGCACATCGAACTTTCTTCTGTTTTCCCTTGTTGGGCAAATGGTCTGCCGATTCTGCATCTAATAACTAAATTATCAATAATATCCACTAGAGATACCTTGTTTAAATAACCCGTCAGTCGTTTCGAAGCACCAGCTATTCAGCAGGTTTTGCCTTTAGCTCAAAATAGCCTCTCGGCAATCGTAATTTTTTCGTTTGCACGGCCTGACCACTGCGTCAACTTGCGGCGTATTCGCACACCCACGCAAAACATAGGCAGGTCATAAACCTGTCGAGGCAAGCGCACTTTATGGTCTCGCTGCTTGACCTCCATCCTATTAATTTATCATCCGGTATCATCCTGCCACACTTAATTTCAGAACTCGAAACTTCATGCTATTATAGACCGATTGAGCACATTTTTTCCGATACTATTTTACATCGTCCTCATGCACTGCACTAATGGAAAGAGGTTACAAAGCCGTCGCCGTCAAAAACTGACTGTTAATTAAATAAGGCAATTTACGCTGAGAAAATATTGTAAGGCAAACTTTGTTTGGAAAGTCAGACAGCGTGCTAAATAACTTCTGATTAAAAAAAGCAAACAGCGAGAGTTTCGCCACTAATTTTGCCGGTAATTTTTCTGTTCTCACAGATGAGGTGTAGTATAATGCACATAATATTATGAATCACGATTCGTACGTTGATACTGCAAATTTACTGATACTACGCTTCAGATTATAACCGTGGAAATAACATTGGCGGCTTTAAAGACTTGTTGCGATTGCAGTCATGCGTGAGCTTCTTAACTCCCCACTCCATCAACCGCCAGATCTTGTGGATTACTGGGCTCTTGTGGGCATTCATCGTGGCTTGACATTTCTTGCTCTCCGAATCTAGCTTGTCTGATGTCCAGCGAGAGGATACCGACACGCCGATTGTCTGGAAACTAGGTTTCTCTGGTCGCGAGTCGCGGTCTCAGCAAAACCGATAGCACGTCCTTTATTTTGCACACTCATGCCATGTTGATCATTGCGGTTAATTCTGTCCTCCACTAGCTGATGTTAACGCACCCGCATCCCCAACTGACGGAGATCTGGTCGTAGCACCCGTCCGGGAAGTTAGTCCTCTTAACCTCAGCTTAGCTGTGTCCCCAAAGCAAAGTCAGCGGGTGGTGAAATGCAGCTTGTCTGTCATGGGTAAGTCTCGTTCTAGGCAGCCGAACGATGTCTATCCAGCCTAGGGAACCTAAAGTTCTTCTCTGGCGCAAGCCGACCAGGGGGAAGAATAATATGCATTACGGAGGTTCCTCAATGTATGTCCTTTAGACCAGTTGTATTGATACGAATTTTCAAGCATTATCCCAGAATCCAAAAATCGACACATAATTCAGAAGAGACCCTGAAAGGGATAAAGGAATACAGAGATGGTCATTATGGACTCATTTGCTGACATCAGCCAGTCATACCCAAAGTACGTTTCTTGCTGACCTGAGGTCTGCATTCAGACGTTGCCAGTGGGAACTAATTTAAGGCCAGCGCTCTGCCGCCTGAGTCACCAGGCCCGCATCCTGTCAGCCGCTACCAGGAGTACTTTAACCTAGCAGGATGTTAGCCTCCAACGGCCTACTTGCGGGAGAGTTTGTAGCTTCTGTCCAGTCTTACTCGCCAACCCTGGATTCGTCGAAATTCGTCTGATAATTATAACTAAGCCAGACAGTGTCTGGCAATATCTCCTACGCTCGCGGATGTTACTCTGTATTGTCGCTATGAGGCTTCCTGATAGGCCTCCCAAAGCACAACAACCACACAGTCAGTCTGTTTTATTGGTAAGATGTGGTTATGCAGCCCCACCTGAAGGACACAATACGTTTGGGGTTGGGGTTAGTGGGTTAGGGTAAGGGGTTAGGGCAACTATTTCTCAACCACACAAAGTACAACCACACATTCCCAATAGCTATTCTTATGCATACAACTACTTAAACCCGTCCCCTCTGCGTTCCCCGGCCCCACCTGCAAAATCTCCTACGATTACCGACCCCGTATTACATGTGGCTGAGGTTTGTTTTCTTCAGATGGGGCTACATAACCAAATCTGCACGTTTTATTGTATTACTCTTCAAAATGTGCTTATCTGCTGGTATAAAAAGAGACATTTGTAAGTCAATAGCTCAAATGTTTTAGCAGGTGTTTGTCGACAGATGTAAATACTTGCATTGATCTAAATGCGGCCTTGCTGGGATTTGAACGCTGATCAGCAGGATGTAGACGGGTTCCCTAAGGAAACAATCTAGAACCTATCAGCTGACCGCCAAGCTAAGCTTTTAGCATGGTTTTTTAAATAGTGGATTCCTTGTCAACTGGCGGTAACTCTCGCTTTCAAAAACGCCGGACATTCTTTGCACATTTCCCACGAATCCAATTATAAGTCCTTGTGTTTCTCTAATGAAGACTGCTTAATTCAGTAACCTCATCACTCCAGGAAGCCCATAGAGACCTGCTTTAAGTGAAAAGGAAGGACATAAGGGGAAGCTGACTCTGTAAGTTAATCAGGCTGCTCATTAGGCAACGGGATTTTTGAAATACAAACCCGTGACCGTAAAAACGCAGTATTCGATGCGCATTTGCTGGTATATACGCGCCAGCAGTCTCTTCAGGTTTCATGGGTAAACCGCACGGTGTTAGATACTTGCCTTTGTTTTGTAAAGCAGAAAAGTTGTAGGTTATGAATGCGATGTCAAGAGACATCGCCTGTCATTGTGTTGACTACAAGCGCGATGGTACCGCACAACCGCGTGTTGTCTAGATGCGACAGATTCATATGTTTATCTTAGACCTACCGTGTGATAGACCCTGTGTGGACTGTAGTAAACATGGTCTCTTCGAAGGTGGAGATGTGCTTTACTTAGCATCGAAATTTAACGTTTACTTCATAGACAGTAGAGGTGACACTACGTTTACGGTCGATATACGAGATGCTAGTAACTGATACTCGCAAAGCCTGCGCGATTTTTTGTGAATTTAAGTGCACGAATAAGATGATGGACAGCTAGCTCTCCTCAAGTCAGAGCCACCTAAGAACTCCAAGAAGCAGACTTCACCAAATTTTCTTAATTGTATCAGGAGGTTTCTTTGACACAGAAAGCTCTAACTACATGCTGTCTTGTTTTACGGTTGCTTAAGTATTGGTCTGCGAAACGTAATTTAATTACGACTACGGTCATGCATAATTCCTTCGACGTCGGAGTTAGCGCGTTTTTCAGACATAGTCGTTTTTCAACTTGGACAGAGAAGACAAAATATTTTCCTCCAGCTATTTATCGCATTCTTGGTTAATACGTGTTAACCCACTACGCCCCCACGGTGAAAGCACTTCCCATGCTCTTGAAGGAAAATGCTGAAAGTCCCCAAGATGAAAATCTGACAATCAAGAGAGATGTTCCCCTTTCTAATCTCTGAATCATTAAAATTGGGAGGTCTTTTTACAAAATATGCGGCTGTCTATTTGCTTTGGAAGTGACTATTGGCGCCGGCAGATGCGGAATGAATTTCCACACCATCGACTAGGGACAAATACGGCAGGTTCAGGTACCACCTTATTACCTTAACAGACAACACTCAGTCAGCTTTTGAGCTGACTTCCTTTGCAAAACAGTGCTCAAAAGGTGGACGACGAAAAATTTGCTCAAAAAAGCATATATTCAATGTATGGGCTAACTCATGAAATGTCAATCAAAATTTCGAAATGCGTTTTCGTTTTGACAAGATTGATTAAATAGGGTTGTAAAAGTGAGAAAGAAGAGTCGAGCACCGGAACACTTCGTTTATTGTCCTGAGCTTTCAGACACGTACAGGAGTCCATCGTCGGAGGTGGTGGCAGAAACAGGACAAGCGGCAGTTATAAGGCACGTAGACCCAATCATCAACCGACGTCGCACGACTGGAGATGACTACACAGTGCTCTATACCCCGGCGCCAGATCGATAAATCGATTGACCAAGTTCTCATCCGAGGCCCAGGCTTCATGCATATCTCAACCTGTCCTTTTTCCGGCGTGGGCGACTATTTTGGTGGCTGAGAAGTTAAACTCGTGACCCATTTCGTAGATGTGAGCGGCCACTTGTGATAATGCGTCGCCTCGCCGCACAGCCAGCTTATGTTCGTGTATGCGCGATGTGAGCATGAGTCTAGTCTGTCCTGTGTAGTTACAAGGACAATTTTGACACGCAATGCGATATACTATTCCAGATTGCTCTTCAGGTTTTAACCGGTCTTTGATTTCCATGACCCTGTTGCGCATGGTGGCTTTGGGGCGGTGTGCAATTCCCACACCCAGCTCCGCGGCAATGCGCTCGGTCGCTTCTGAAACACCCTTAATGTATGGCAGAGAATGCCATACCGTCGGTGGCGTTGATGTTCGAGTTCTCTGGTGACGACCGTGTAGGCAGCCACTTATGAATGCCCTCGGATAGCCATTTTGCACAAACTGGTCGCGGAGATAACGGGCCGCACGTGCTCTGTCCTCCGGTTTGCTGCAATGAGTTTGGATCCGTTTGAAGAGCGTCTTCACACAGCTTCGTTTGTGAGCCACCGGATGGTTGCTGTGAAAACGGAGAAGCTGTGTGGTGTTCGTTGCCTTCCTATAAACCGTCGTTTCAAGTTCACCGTCAAGGTTTCGTCTGACGAGCACATCTAGGAAGGGCAACTGCTGTTCCTGTTCTTCTTCCCTCGTGAATTGTATTTCGGGGAGGACTGCGTTGAGCAGGCTGTGGAAATGTTGCAGCATGTCCGTCTTTACGATGACTAACGTGTCGTCAACGTAACGGCGCCAAAACACTGGTTCATGTTGGAGGAAGGCAATCTTTTCTAACTCCTGTAGGACCATTTCTGTCACCAAACTGGAGACCAGTGAGCCCATTGGGGTTCCCTTGATTTGTTCATAGGTCTCTCCCGCAAGAGTGAAGGAAGTTTGTTGGCAGAATTCAAACAGCCTCATGACTTGTTCAATTCTAAGTGCATTCTGAGGCTCATCGTACGCCTCTTCAAGTCTCTTGCGCAAGACGTCGCGGGCCACGTTTGGTGGGAAGGACGTGAATAACGACGTCACATCGAAGGAGACCATGATTTCGTTCGATTGAATTCTCCGACCTCAGAGGTCTATGAGGAATTAAGAGGCTCATCGAACTGAGGTAGTCGAATTGCCTTGGAGTAGCTTCTGTTTTGAGTGCATCCATTTTGCCAAACTGTAGATGGGGCCGCCTTTTAGGGCAACGATTGGCCGAAGTAGGACATTTGCTTTATGGATTTTTGGTTTTAAAACTAATAAAAAGACAGCATGGTTCTATGATAATTCAGTTATCGCAGAGTGTCGGCTTTCTAATAAACTTATTTTAAACTTCATGCACAGAATTATATTCAGAACAAAATGACTATATCGGTAGCATGAGATTTCCCCATTGATTTTCGATGGCCTTGAAAAGTTAATTATATTTCATGTTAAACACTCATAAAGACATTTATTGTTTTTCTTATTCAGTAGAAAATCACGTCTTCTTCCGATTGTATGTTCGGAAGAAAAGTATCATTCGGTTTTAAAACCTCAAACTCTCGAATAATTTTGAATCTCGCCAGCCGTTACACTCGCATTAAGTGTTCACAAACTACAAGTATTATATTTTCCCTGTACGGAAAACCATGCATTTATGTACAGTATAAAGAGGAGACCATATGGGGTTCATAAAATTAAGCAGTGGATCTCAGCAGTATCGTTAACTTTACAAGCCAGATTCGTAAATGCAGATACATGACGTTTTATGAACGGCCATTGCACAGTATTATAAAAATCGTACCATTATAAATTTTTGAAACTTAACTATAGCTTTTTTCGAGTACAAAATCGGAAGTAGGGGTAATTTTCTACCGAATAAGTAAAAGAATGGATATTTTATTTATGTTTCCCATGAAATATAATTTAATTTTCAAGGGCAACGAAAATTAATGAAAAAATTGCATGCTACTTAAGCAGTCATTTTTTCAAAGTATAGTTTTACATGCAGTCGGATATACGATCATTCCAAAGCGGGCACCCTGATGTAACTGGATTATTATAGAATTATGCTGCATTCTGATTAGTTTTACAACCCTACTTAATTGATCTTTTCTAAATGCGGACGAATTTCGAAATTTCGGTTGACATTTTATGAGTTAGCCCAGCTACTGTATATCTCAGTAGTTCGCCCAACAGGGTGTGTCAAAGTGTAAACTTATTGAGACGCAGTGTATATGAGATACTCCAAGTGTGTCCTTCTAACAGTGGATTTTTTTGGGAAACTCGTCAGCTTTCCATGGCTAAAACCAACCTTAATATCAATAACCAGCAATACGCATATATGCAAAAGTTTATCTCGAAGAGTCTTGTGATTATACACACGGCCCCCGGTGGGGCCCTGTAGCTCAAATGGCTTGAGAGTTTGCTGTACGCAAACCTACTACTTTATATCATGGGTTCAAATCCCACCGAGGTCGGCGAGCATTTTACAATCTCGTCAAAATAAAATAAATCCTGTTTTTATTACTGTGTGTCAAAAGGAGAAAGCATGTAAGATTCTTCGCAGCAGCAAGCCCTATAAAATCAATTTAAACGCAATTTAGGGAATATACACAGCAGACGCGCAAAACATGTTTGCCTACGTTCTGTCGGTGTACTGAAGGATTCTCAAAGGAAGCCTTACATAATTATCGAGCACTCTGCAGGAAAAGGCAATTCTTTGCTAGGCGCAGACAACTTTATCTCAAGAATCCAAAAACAGTGTGAAATTGCTGAGCCTTAGTCGAAGTATGTCCAGCGATTCTCTTTTTGTTTTTCATTCTGTTTCCTTAACAAGAATGCACAACGGCCGCCAACAGGAGGCCGACGGAACGATGCATGGGTTTCCGTTCCAGACGCCATATAACTGCATCTAGCAAGTCGTACGCCGTCTATGTGGTAATCTAACAAAGAGCCTTTGTCGGAAGCTTTCGGAGCACGCTTCTAGGGCCTAAAAAATCTTCCTGATGAGTAGCTGTTGACATTTGAGCAACGAGTGATATAATCGCATGCTAAGTGGTTCTGTTGATGACGGAGGATAAGGGGTTCTTCCCAAAACTGCAAAAAACTCATGTATAGTCATCTAATTGACACTGATACTATGCCGTGAATAAGGTACATATAAATGAGAGTGCCGTATATTTGCATCAACAAGATTTATAAACTATTTGTTGCATGTGCATTAGTCCGATTATCTTCGCGAACTTGCAGCACAACTTATCGCGTTTTTTCTTAAAGTACCAAAACTCCATAACACACCTTGTTTGTAGGTAAAATAGTTAAATTTTAAAAACGAAAGTGTGTGATAATTGACCCAGGAGTATGCAGGCGTAGGAATTTGACTCGCTAAGAGGCAGCAATCTAAAAAAATATCTCCTCGTAACTGTTTTAGACAAATTTTGCAAGCTCACATGCAATTGCTAAGCATATGCCTTACGCTAATAGTACTTTTTGGATGGAATACTACATTTCAAGGCATTTGACCGGCTATCTAACGCTGCGGCTATCTCATTCTGCAATAGCTCGCATTCTTAAAAAAAACTTTATAGAGACAAAACTCAAAGTACTTTACAATGATGATCGTCGACCGTTTCTGGTTTGTGAGTAAACTGCGATGATGACAGCGAATATGACAAAAATGATCACTCCAGTCTCCGATTTTGTGCCTTTTGCATTTAATCATCATTTACTAATTTTCGCAGTTTGCTCACTCTAGAGGACTCCTGACTTTATTTCCAAAAGCTAACAAAATGTACAATAGCCGTTCTGCTATCAGGATAAACCGACGATTTCAACTTCCAAGTAAGTTTACATATTCTCAAAAACGACCAAGCTGAAGTATATTAACGAATCGTATCTTTAGTGCCTATTAAATAATCAAATAATCCCGAGTCACCTAGCCCTTATCTGGTTCGTGATTTTCCTAAACGGGAGGCCATTACTGAGAAAATTAGTCGTAAAATACTTCCCAGGAAATTGCTTCTAACCAAAACCAATTTTATGTTGTAATAGTCAACACGCCGCAGTAGGGAATTAATATTTGTACCAGCGAAATAAGCATAAGCACTAGCATCTACAGACAAAAGCAAACAGCCGAACTAAAACGAAGCAGTTTTCCATCGTTAACGTCTGCAAAAGAAAATGGCAGCAGGCACATTGGTGGTGCACCAAAAAAATGCATTTATTATGCAAACACCGTTCATTCCACGTATTTGAGTTTCCTGCCAGACTGGATTGGTTGTTCACATTCGAACCTTGGTGTTTTCGATTGGCGTAATAGGCTCTAGAAGATATGAATGAATAATACGGTCTTCTAAAGTGACGTTTATGCTCTATGAATTGCAATGCCCTATCTCCTAAAATATTTGTCGAAATTTCAAAATGTGGTTTAGGTTCGAAATGATTGCTTAAGTATTGCTGAAATGTAAATTACCGTGCAGCGCAATTCCAAGATATCTTAGTCACGACATATGCCGACATTCGAATGAACATCTCGTCGACTACCTAGTAAAACTACCTTTTTTGCGGGAAATGGCCACTTTGGTAAGGGGATTTTTTCATTTGAATTTGATGCCTCCATAAATTCATTTGCACCGTATAGAAAACAGACAAAAATATTTTCCCATATATACATTTTGTCGCAAAGAAAGTTTTCTTTAAATATTCTCATTAAGGAGAAAGAATCCCTTGTTTTTAACAGTTTTTTTTAATTCTCGAATATTGTTTTTTTACCTGCCCTGTCACTTGCATTCAGGGTTTTAAAGCTACATTATTCAGGCATCACGTCAAAGATATGCAATAAATACGGATCAGGTTGTGTACTTTATAAATAGCATTATCGCAAATGCTAGCGGGATGCCGTATGAACGGGTATTTCACAACCTTCAAAATTCTCATAATCAGAAACATTCTTATAGTCAAAAGATGACGCAACTTGCTACCAAATAAGCTCAATAAAAATATTTATGTCCTCATTTGCTCTAAAATACACCTGAAGTTACAAAGATAACTAATACCAGTATAATATTGCATAGTACGCAGGATCTGTCGATGAACTACCGAAAACATGTGTTTGCCAAATTTGTCCCTCAAGTGTAACGGAGAATATTCGCAAATATTAGAACTGGTTCGTTTACTTTTTTCAGCCTTAGTTTTGATTTTGTCGCAAATGACAACTCGGATTTTTCGGCATAGAAGTGGCCTATGGACTTCTCTTAGCTGCAGCAGCTACATCCCCGCCTATGCGTAGTCGCGTTCTTTGCGACTAATTGCTGCACTGAAGGTTGGGAACACCCAACGTTTCATTAAACGAGATTATATGAATGCTCACTTTTACTTATTTTGCTTCTTCCGATATTGTCTTTGAAGTCTTTTTTCGCTGCAGTCAACGAGTTCTGTGTAATTCTGATCGACATGCTTTTGTTTTCTCATAATTCTACTTGCTAGAGTGGAAGAATTCTCAACGGTGTAACCAACAAAATTCAAACTTTCTCTCAACACTGAATCGGAGTTGCACGTCCGTTTGTCAAATTTCTTCCGAAAATATTTAGCACAGTATCTGTCCCTCCTACCATTATTAAAGTTCTATTCAAACTGTGGGAAGTTTTTATATATTTAGACGGCAACACAGACAATGTCGGAAGTTAGTTCTCGACATTTTAGGTTTCAAAGTACTCCATAGAGGGCCGTTATGCATAGTGATAGTTTATGCTAGAAAAGTAAACATTATATTGATCGTTTGAGTGAAATCATGTTAGTTCCTATTAGCTTAAAAGAGTTAGTTAGAGTATTATAAGCTTGCTTTGCTTCACCTATTACGATCATCAATTGGATAATCTGTCCGTATTTCGTACAGAGTTGGACTCAGTGATCAAAGATCAGGGGTTCGAATTGCAGGTGTTCCACACCTCGGTTTGGGTGCGGCTATCTAATGACGCCCAATAGGCCAGAAATGGCCGTTCCAGTCGCCCTTAAATTTGCCGAAAATCTACATCGGCATCTATTTTTCGTCATTACATGACTGTGTGGACTCTCTT